ATATTTGGTCACAATATAGCATAATAAGAGATTTACAAGCAGTTTTTAAAAGACCGGTCATATTTTGGAACTGGTTGATCATAGGTCTAATATGAATATTGTCAAAATTATCCACAAATAATGTTTTTTTCACTCATAAACTGAGGTGCATCAGCTCAGTTCAAGAGGCGTATTATTAACCAGTTCCAAAAAGAAAAGCAAAATCAGTGCTACATGAAAGAATACAAGTTGACAAAAAGATTGAATCCAAAATATGGGAACAATATTACATAACGAGATTTACAAACAATTTTTTTGTAGGCGGGTTTGTCACGGAACACCACAAACATCCCAAAAAAGTACAAAAATTAACAAAAAAATGACTGATCTTGAAGGTTTGAAATTGAAGGTCTTATTGATCTCATTGAGTTTTCCAACAAGAAATGCAATAATTGAAAGAAAACAATTTGACAAAAAGATTGCATGAAAAAAAATTGGTAATAAAATCCCCCAAAAAGTACAATAGTTACCAATACATTTTGGTTGGTTGTTATATCATGTGTGAGCAAAGATACTAGGTTTCCAATGTCATAGCATAAACTAACATTTTCATTTTTCAAAAAGACTGAATCTAAGATTTGGTGATAGTATCATATAATGGGAGATTTGCAAGTGATTTTTAAAAGACTGGTCTTTTTTTTTTTTTTGGAACTGGTTGATCATGGGTCTCATTTATATCAGTTTTTGAGTGAATATTGTCAAAATTATCCACAAATAATACTTCGTTCGCTCAAAAACTGAGGTGCATGGGCTCAAATCAATGAGGCCTACGATCAACCAGTTCCAACAAGAAATGCCAAATTTGTGCTAACTGAAAGAAAACAATTTGACAAAAAGAGATTTTCTAGTAATTTTTAAAAAACTGGTCTTTTTTTTTTTTTTTGGAACTGGTTGATCATGGGTCTCATTTATATCAGTTTTTGAGTGAATATTGTCAAAATTATCCACAAATAATACTTCGTTCGCTCAAAAACTGAGGTGCATGGGCTCAAATCAATGAGGCCTACGATCAACCAGTTCCAACAAGAAATGCCAAATTTGTGCTAACTGAAAGAAAACAATTTGACAAAAAGATTGCATTAAAAAAAATCGGTAATAAAATCCCAAAAAGTACAAAAAACAC